TCATAACCGCAATTGTAATGTAATAGTACCTATATTACATTACGAGTGTAGAACGTGACAAATTTCACACGAGTGCTTTATCGCGCGAGGCGGTAGCCGAGTGCGAAAATCACACGAGTGTATGAAAGACGCTTTCTTACAAGTGATGTACAGGGTGCTGCAATTTGGTGTGTTTTAACAGGAAAAACACACTTCCAGATCAGATAGACGAAAATTGACTTAGATGTCATGGGATCGATTTTCGAGAAACGTCGATTGTCAAAAACCGTATCACGATATCTTCAATGGTACCATTAATACAGGGCGATTTTCGATTTTCCCCTATTATGAAAAATAGCTATAAGTTTTTTATTTATCAATTTTTTTCATTTATGTAAAAACATTATGGAGACGCTTTTTTGAGCAGAATCCAGTGGCGGACCCGGTTTTTTTCTATATCGCTCCGATTTCGAGATATCGACCAAGTTCCGATATTTTCAAATGAAACTCCCTATATATTAATAGCTCATTAGAGACCTTCCTCACTTTTACACATATAAAATCCTTTTCTAACACATTGTTCCTTACGACAAAAACAGATATAATTTTTTTTTCTGAAAAACTGTTAGAGATAAACCTATCGAACTTTATATCATTGAAATCAGCAAAAACAGAGCTATCCAATGAGCTATTAATATATAGGGAGTTTCATTTGAAAATATCGGAATTTGGTCGATATCTCGAAATTGGGGTGATATAGAAAAAAACCGAGTCCGCCACTGGATTGTGCTCGAAAAAGTGTCTCCATAATGTTTTTACAGAAATGAAAAAAATTGATAAATAAAAAACTTATAGCAATTTTTCATAATAGGAGAAAATCGAAAATCGCCCTGTAATAATGGTACCATTGAAGATATCATCGCGATACGGTTTTTGACAATCGACGTTTCTCGAAAATCGATCCCATGACATCTAAGTCAATTTTCCTCTATCTGGTCTGGAAGTATGTTTTTCCTGTTGAAACACTCCAAATTGCAGCACCCTGTACACTATTTTTCCTACGACCAGAATCCGATTTACACCAATTTTCTCTTATTTTATTTATTTTCATTTCCAACACACGTGCTGAAAGTACTTTCAATCCACGTATTGAAAGTAAATTGTGATGTCAATTACAAATAATGTCAACAGTACCTATTTTCCACACGTGTGCTGAAAGTACTTTTAGCAAGCGTATTGAAAGTACTTTCAGCACGTGTGTGATATTTCGCGCTTTCCAAAGAATCAGCTAGTGCGGATTTTGTCATTTTCGTATGTGGTCGTAGGAAAATAACTATAACTTGATTCCTTTACGTTTTTGTCTGAATTTCCATAAAAGTGCGATGAAGTTTTGTATACATCACGTAAGTTGAAAAATAAATTTTCTGCTTATGAATAAACATTCATTTAACTCACTTGGTGTATAAATAACTATTAATATACAGGGTGTTAATAAATAGTGGGATCAAACTTCTAGGATAAATAATACTCATTAAAATAAGAAAAAAGTGAATAGAAACATGGGTCCGCGAATGCTTAGTTTTCAAGATACAGGGTGTCAAAGTTTGAAAAAAAAAAAAAAATTGGTTTTTTCAGCTCAAAAATCCCTTTTCCAATTCTCTTTTCCAAATTTGGCAGCTTTGTTTGTGATAACAAAAGGTATCTTTTAAGTTTTGATGTAATATGACTCAATCTGCAAAAATATCAAAGTTATAAAAAAATATGACATGCGATGCATTTGCGGACCTATGTTTCTATCAACTTTTTTTAAATTTTAATGAGTACTATTTATCCTAGAAGTTTGATCCCATTATTTATTAACACCCGTATATGTTAGGGTTAATATGCAAACTTGGCTAGTTTGTAAACTAGCTGGATAGTTTACAAACTAACCAACCTCTTGGCTATTTTGATAAAAAACACACTTTTTACTAAAATAGCAGCTAGTTTGCAAAAGTCTTGGCTAATTTACTTGAAATTATTAATAAAACTAAATTAGCTGGTTAGTTTATAAACTATCCAATGCAGCCTGGCTAATTTGAAAACCATGATTTCTAGTAACACAAAATAGCCAAACCTTTGGCTAGTTTGTAAACTAACCAACCAATTTTCTGGCTAGTTTACAAATAAAGTTTAATGTTCATGGTATTTGTTATTCGATAAATTAGAGATGAATAATATAAAAATTTTTGCTTTTTTCTTTTTTTACCTGGCAATTCTCACATCCATTGAGGAACAAAATTACAATTTTTTGGGTAATATTTGAATATTTTTGATTTATTAGCTTGCCTTTCGCCATGCCCAGTTGATTGGTGGGATTCTTTAATAATATCATTGCAGAGGTTATTCTAACGTGCAGTTGGACACAAAATGTGCAGTAGGAAAAGTAAATTGTGCAGTGGAAAATTAAAATCTGTGTAGTTATTTTCTCAATGTATTACGAAGAAATAATTTAGTTGACATAATATGTTACATAATATGAGAATACAATAGCACTATGAATACATTACATTTATTCTAAAATTTATTGCTAATTTTTCCCCAGCACTACCTAAAATTCTTCGTTTACCTCATCCGCATTGGCCTCCAGCAAAAATATCTTTGCTGTTTGGCCTGTGCTGTTTCTTTTTGACTCTGTGCTGACGCTCATTTAACCAAACCATAGTGGCTTGTCAAGGATTCCACTCTGACAGATAAGGCATATTGTGAAAAATGTAAAAAATGACGTGACTCCCAAAAAATTTTCGCCTGCGGCGCATTTTTTTAAAAAGTTCACAACCAAACTAGGATGTCACTAGCCGCCACTGCTTTTATAACACTCCAATTAATGTAATGTCAGACGCGTTTCATGAGTTATTATGGAAAAGTGACACATTCTCCCGACGGTGTAAGTTGACGCGCGAGGCGCAGCCGACGCCGGCAAACATCAAAGGCCGAGAATGTGCTTCTCCTCAAAAATATACATATTATTTTTTCTAGCTTTCGCTCAGGAATAAAAAAAATGAGGAATGCTTTTGTGATATTGCTGGATCAGCACACTTTCCCGACCTAGGCCGGAAAATTGTTTCCCGTACTGTTATCCATTCCTTCCTTAGTAGGCCGGAAAAGTATTTCCCGTACTGTTATCCATTCCTCCCTTAGTAATCACTTTCTCGGCCTAGGGGAAAAATTATTCCTGTACTGTTATCCATTATTCATCGATTCCTTAGCAACCAGTGAAAATACCAGAATTTCGAGTTTTGTGACCTGTCAACCGGTCAAAAATCATAAAAATGATAACATTTCTTGTCAATCGCAGAAAACATATTATGTATTATGTGAATGTATGTTAGTAATACATATCATGGTAATATATACGGTGATTTATTTCCTCTATGTGCAGTGGAAAAAAATCCTTAGAATAACCTCTGTATCATTGTATAATATCAAACAAATCGTCCATACAATACAAGCTATTATTTTGCCAGATTTCCGTCGTTGTAAAGTTCGGAATTATTTGCTTTATTATTTTATCTACAAGCGTTTGGTTATGACGTTTTTACATAACCATTTTTCTAGTAATTGAGTTATGTTATGAGACTCATAACACAACTAGTGGTGTTATAGACTTGGTTATGAATTCATAACACAACTAGTGGTGTTATGGACGAGGTTATGAATCTATAACACAACTATTTTTGGTGATTTGACAAATGTCAAAGGTTAACTTATAAAGGTAAAATGAAGGTAGACAACTACTAATAAACGAAATTAATTGAAAAAACATTCTTATTTCTCGCTTTGTAGATAAAACGTTGTACAGGGTGTCCGAATTTGGATGGTTTCAATAGGAAACGTCAATTTCTGAGCGAGATACAAAAAAATGAACCCCCCACTCCGACGCTCAGATTTCTTGAAATTTTGATTGGTGCAAACCGCATTTTGATATCTTCAACCGTTTAGCCGCTAGAGGGCGATTCTCGATTCTGACCAATATTGTGAAATCTTCATAACTTTTTTGTTTATGAAAATAACTGATTTCCGTAAAAACTTCCTGGAAGCACTTTTTCAAGCAGAATTCAGTGACGTTTTCAGTCTTTTTCTATTCGGCCTCGATTTCAAGATATTGACCAAAATACGATTTTTTTCAATAGGACACCCTATATATTAATAGTTCATTAGAAAGCTCTGCTTTTGCTGATTTTAATGATACAAATTTCGATAGGTTTATCTCTAACAGTTTTCGAGAAAAAAAATATTTCGGCTTTTGTCATAAGAAACAATGAGTTAGGAAGAGACCTTTCTCAGTTTCCTTGCAGATATAAAGTCCTTTTCTTACACATTGCTTCTTATGACAAAAACCGGAATAATTTTTTTCTCGAAAACTATTAGAGATAAACCTATCGAACTTTCATCATTGAAATCAGAAAAAGCCGAGCTTCCTAATGAGCTATTAATATATAGAGTGTCCTATTGAAAAAAACCAGACACACGTGCGTTTAAACATGACTACAAAACTCGTGTGATTAGAACGACTCGGTCTACGACCTCGTCGTTTTAATCTTTCACACTCGTTATTGTAATCAGTTCATAAACGCACTTGTAATGTAAATAACTAATACAGATCTTTTAAAGAAGCTTCAAATTCTCTAACCTAACTTTATTTGTAAATTAGCCAGAAAATTGGTTGGCTAGTTTGTAAATTACCCAAGTTTTGGCTATTTTGTGTTACTAGAAAATATGGTTTTCATATTAGCCAAACTTCATTGGATAGTTTATAAACTAACCAGCTATTTCAGTTTCCCTAATAATTTCGAGTAAATTAGCCAAGACTCTTGGTTAGTTTGCAAACCAGCTGCTATTTTAGTGAAAATTGTGTTTTCTATCAAAATAGCCAGTAGGTTGGTTAGTTTGTAAACTATCCAGCTAGTTTATAAACTAGCCAAGTTTGCATATTAACCGTAACATATACATACATTATCTGGAATATAATTTTCATTTAGGGTAGCATAAGTTTGGAAAAATCCACTCGAGAACGTCCAGCGACATGGCTCGCCTCTCAAGGCTGGGAAAACATTCTAAAGCTTTCCACCGACTTTCCATTACAATTCGAAAACTTGCCAAATCAACTCGAACGTAATATCGAAATATGGCAGAACTGGTACGATATGGATGCTCCTGAAGCCGCAGAGTTTCCTTTCGACTACAGTACAACTTTGAAACCCTTCCAAAAGCTCTTGTTGCTAAGATGTTTTCGAATAGACAGAGTTTATAGGGCCGTGGGAGACTATATAACTGAAATTATGGGGGAAGAGTATATCATGCCCCCGGTGATCAGCATGGATAGTATTTTTGAGCAATGTAGTCCGACAACGCCGGTTGTGTTCATCTTGAGCCCTGGATCTGATCCTACAGCTGATTTAATGAAGTTAGCAGATAGGTAAGAAATTTGATATTTTTTCTTTATCAGTTTTTATATAAATAGGGCTTTATGTTCGATTAAAAACAGGGTTAACCATTCCAAAATGACTGACTTGGTAAATTTTCGCTGTGGACTCGAAACTGCATGGATCAGCAGCGAAACTGAGTACCTACTTACTGCTTTGCTATGACTTAACAATCAAAATACAAATTCCTTCATAAAGTTTTTCGCGGCTTCGCTGTCAGGCAGTTTTATCATTATTACCAATTGTTTATCTAAACTTATAGGTGTGGTTTTGGTGGAGGTAAATTCCGTTATCTTTCCCTTGGTCAAGGCCAAGAAACCACTGCCCTACAATTATTGGACACTGCCATATCCAGAGGCCAATGGCTGATGTTCCAAAATTGCCACTTGCTTTTGGCCTTTATCAAGCGCCTGGAAAAGCACATTGAAAAAATTAGCAAGCCTCATCCAGATTTTCGTCTGTGGTTGACTACAGATCCCGTCGCCACGTTTCCTATTGGAATTCTGCAAAGGTAACATAATTAAACCATTTAACCAAATAATTCTGAGCTGCTGGAGACACCATTTCAGCTCCTGAATTAGTCAGAAGAAACTTGCTTGCTAGATCAATAAGTTCAGAATTGCTTAAGGCTTGTTTTCCATATCTAGCAGCATGTGAATTCACTATTGGCCATTTGCACCGCTATCGCTTAAGGGAAATTAAGGGATATTTAATTCAAGTGGAGCTTTTGAATGTAACTTTTGTTTCTACGAGAGTCACATTCAAAGCTCCACTTGGATTAAATATCCCTTAACTTATAGCGATGCAAATGGCCGTATGTAGTTTGCCTTTTCAACTTCATCTTAATGATTGGTGTCTACGAGTTGAATTGTGTTAAACTATATATTAATAAAATTTCAGATCATTAAAAGTTGTCACTGAACCACCCAACGGACTTAAGCTGAACCTGCGTAACACCTTTTTCAAAATGCGCGGCCAACTTCTGGACTCGTGCTCACATGCATCCTTCAAGCCACTCGTCTACGTATTGGCTTTCTTCCATGCGGTAGTTCAAGAACGCAGAAAATATGACAAAATCGGCTGGAATATTTGTTATGATTTTAACGAGTCTGATTTCAACGTATGCGTTCAGATTCTGGATACTTATTTGACTAAAGCCTTTAAGGCAAAAGATCCTAGAATACCATGGAATAGTTTGAAATATTTGATTGGCGAGGTGATGTATGGCGGCAGGGTGATTGACGATTTTGACAGAAGGATAGTCGCGACTTATATGGACGAATATATGGGAGATTTTTTGTTTGATACATTTCAGCCTTTCCATTTTTATCAGGATGATACTGTTGATTATGTTATACCGCAAGATGGCAATAAGGAAGATTATATTGGTAGTATTACCTATATTTATACTGTTTCACTCAGTTACTACGTTAAAATGTAAAAATTGCAGCTTTTATTGACGAATTACCTTTGGCAAACAGTCCAGAAGTTTTCGGACTTCATTCTAATGCAGAAATTGGATACTATACTCAAGCTACAAAGGAAATGTGGAATATTTTGATTGAGTTGCAACCTCAAGTTTGTAAGTCAAAAGCACCAATAAAAAAGTTCAGTATTAATATTGTAACGTGTTTATAGCAACTTCTGAAAAAGGTATCAGTAGAGAAGAATTCATCGAAGCAGTAGCTAACGATGTTCTCAAAAAAATCCCAGAAGAATACGAAGTATGGAAAGTGCGACGCTATTTCCAAAGAATGATGTCGCCTACTATAGTTGTACTACTACAAGAGCTGGAGCGTTTCAACAAACTCATTTCCGCCATGAGAAGATCCCTAATTCAATTGAAAAAAGCTCTGGCAGGGGAAATTGGCATGGACAGTGTTTTGGACAACGTGGCTTATTCGTTGTTTAACGGACAACTGCCAAATATATGGAGGAAACTAGCGCCAGCTACTTGTAAGAACTTGGGAGGATGGATGGAGCATTTTGAGGCTAGGCAGCTACAATATTTTTCATGGGTAAGAGCCATATTTTTATTTAAGAATACGTCTTTTCCTATAGGCATTTGAGATTTAAAAAAAAAACGAGAACGAATTTTTGAAATTCAAAAAATGAAGTTCTGATGTGTCGATAGAAAATTAGTTATTTTTTTGTTATCCAAGCAAGGAAATTCACGTCACCTATACACGTAGGTGAAAGAGATATTTGAAAACACAACTATTAGAATACATTTCTTTTTTTTTTTTTAAACTTAAGCAGAATGGTTCATTTTGGGTAAACCTAGATTGTTTTTGGTAGTGCCATTTTCTGAGTCAATAAACATATAGATAATAACCAAACTGATTCAGAATATCTATTCCGCTTTTAGTCCACTACAGGTGAACCAGCAGTACTGTGGATATCAGGCCTGCACATTCCGGAGACTTATTTGGCAGCCTTGGTGCAGATTTCTTGTAGATTGCATAATTGGCCACTGGATAGATCTACACTCTATACTTACGTTTCCGAGCATGTAGATCCCGCAGATGTTATTTTACGACCAGCTGCGGTAAGTATTTTTGTTTCAAGTTTTGTTTGAAGTGCTAAAGACTGTTTTTAGGGTAATTGTCTCCTGCACGGTCTCTACTTAGAAGGAGCAGCCTGGGACGTTGAAAATAACTGCCTGAAGAAATCAACCCCGAAAATTCTCATTGAGAAACTTCCAGTATTGGGAGTAGTGCCTATAGAATCGTTCAGATTAAAGCTCCAAAATACTTTGAAGACTCCAGTGTATACTACGTCATTAAGACGAAACGCTATGGGGGTTGGTTTGGTTTTTGAGGCTGATTTGAGAACAACAGAACATATAAGTCATTGGGTGTTGCAAGGAGTGTGTTTAGTGTTAAACACAGACTAAGATTAAACTGTGTTGAATTTGATAAAAAAAGGGATAGTATTTTGAAAAAAAAAAGATACCTAACCAAAAGGAAACAATTAAGTTATAAACGCGCAAAAGACGTTAGACCATATTATGTGTTTGTAGCAGTTTACTTCAAAGACTGAAAGCTATATAAGCTGTAGTTTTAAGAGTTTTTCATGTGTTATTTTGAAACTAGTTTCCAAGACTGAGTTAAGTTTGTCATATTTTACTGTAAGGTGTTCTTTGTATTTCTTTGTTACCTGCAATACTTTCTAAATAAATAATCCAACTCTGTGTTTTCCTTTTTTTATTTATTTACAATTTAGTACAATATTACAAAGTGATGGTTTTTGGAAATGCGCCTCGAACTGAAAAGTGGAATAATAAATTTGACATCCGCACATAGTCGAATCTACCATTCAAAACTTCCAGTTGTTTCAATTCGTCTTTTTAACATCTTTGACTTCTCCTTCCTTGATTTGTCCTTTTCCGAAAATCTTGGCCAAACTATCCCAGATTCCGCCAAAGAACAGGGCGCACATTAGGTTTTCGAAGGGAATAAAAGGGTCGTGGATTCCAAGGATTATTGAAGACAGTTTAAAGTAGACGAAAAAGATGACTATACCGAAATAAACCAAAGCATGGGGAGCCGAAATAATTTCAGTTTTTTTGTCTAGGATGAAGATTATCGACGCTACTAGACAAGATTTTGTGTAGCTGGAAAAAAAAAATTAGTTAATAATAAGGTAGTCAAGGAAGTTTTTCTTCATACTATAGGTTGAAATTTATTCTGGTTCTGGTTATAAAACTACCTGAACTTTAAAAAACCTTGGTATAAAGAGTTTCCAAGTCCAATATTACTGATTTTGAGAAAATGAAGAAAACATTTACTAAAAATTGATCAGCGAATTGACTTATGATACCATACTTGAAATTGAGCGCATCTTCTTTCCATAGATTTTCCTTATTGACAATAATTATTGTCTCAAGCAAAAAATTATTTCGAAATAAAAAATGAAAACTACTTACAAACTGGGTTGCATAAATTCCATAGCTGTCGGCGTCCATACTCCTCGAATGAGTCGTTCCATCAGTCTTGTGAATCCAGCACCGTTGCCTTTGAGTGTTCCAATGATTATCATGATTAAATAACCGCTAGGATATAGTTTGGCCGCGTGAGTGACACCATCGTAGACTTTCTTGCATCTGTAGATTTCCTTCATTGCTGAAAAACCTATTTTGACTGGTAGGAATTTCGATAGTTTGTAGCCGACATCGAAAGGTGTGTAGAACACCGCATACCTGCAAAAAAAGTTTTAAAATGAAGACACCAACGCAACTGATATTTTTCTTCGAAGTTGAACCAAATCAAAGCAAAACCTCATTGATCGAGCATTATGTGCTGGCGATGGACACTCGAAGTGGTTAGTGTGTCGTCGACAGATTTCGGAGATTGTGCACAGTTTGGCAACATGGGAAGAAAATATCCTGATTATTTAAATTGCCTCTTCCAATCTACCAATCCAATACAACCATTCCACTGCTTCTACACATCCTTTGTCACAGAGATTCAATTGCCAAAGGAGAATCTAGTGTTTTGGTGTTAGAAGCTTCCCACAAGATGCTGCATTTGGTATATCTTGAGCTTTAGACAATAGGTTTGTTTCTGCAGAAATCACAAACCAGTCAGAGCGAATTACATTAGTTGAAAACTAATTTCGTCTAATTCGTCTAATGAAATTCACTCTGACTGGTTTGTGTGGTTTTCTCAAAATAGTCAAAATATACCAAATGCACATGGGAAGGTTCTAACACCAAAACACTTGATTCTCCTTTGGCAATTGAATCTTTGTGATAAAGAACGTGTAGAAGCAGAATGGTTGTATCGGATTGGTGCTTGGTCTAGGTCAAGGTTGTATTGGCATGGTGGTATTGGCTGCAAGCTTGTTGAAATTGATATAGCTTGGACAAAGACTTGAGCTTTGTCAATGAAAGCAGCCGATCTGCCTGCTGAGTGCGCAATAACTGTGTATGAACACGAGAACCAGGCATGGTTTACAACAAGAATAATTATGGAACTCAAAATCGAAAAAAAACCTATCGGTGATTTGGCTTCAATAAACGGAAGATTGGCTGATTGATTTCAGACAACTTGAATTATTTGCCAACAATATACATACAACCCTACCATGAAACAAGCATCAGTCCTGCAAATTTTTAAACCTGAAGAAATAAGAAAATACTTGCGGATAGACTGGAAAATTTTGATGGACCAAAATCTTTACTGCAAGGCTGTTGACCCCTATTATGGGCACATCAACAAGAAGAATCATGGCGAATCTTTCCAATAATGGGGAGTTTCCATACAATCTGCAACCTTCTATCTTGGCATACTTTCTGGTAATTCCTGACCTCGAGATCTAGCCGTGGAATCTGGTATAATAGAGCTCTATCGATAAAGATCTTGTTGGTAAGCACTGCAGTTATACATTTCGCCTACACAACCTCGTGTATAGTGTATACGTGGATAAAGCCTTTATGAAAGTTCTGCATCCTGGGGTTCTGGAATGTGAGGACTTACATATGCTATGCCTTTTCTACGACTCTCAATGCCTGATTTCTCTCGGACATCTAATAACTCTGTCCTTCAAAATGAACCTTTTCAAAGTATTTGACAACTACTTGACACTGCAGTGGCGTAACTAAGGGCCCGCAGTTGCGGGGGGGGGCCCGTGATCTTAGGGGCCCCGCGGGGCCCTAGGCCAAGCGACAAGAAAATACTAAACTGGCGACAAGAATAATAATTACTTAACTAAAAGAAAATACTTTAACCTAACCTATGAACCTCATAATACATACCAACCATTGAAAAAGTATGTCTAACCAATGTAAGAGATCTCAGAGAGAAATGTTTAGACATACAGATGCAAAATCAACTGGGGCCGTTTTAAATGATATACTACTATTGCTATCTCTGAAACGGTAGGAGTAAAGAAGTCGGGTCAATTGAACAAAAGTGGCAGTAACCCATGGAGATAAGTTCACAGGGTTGCCAACTAAAAGCCGTGTGGAGATAACAATGACGCCACTCTGTAGAGAAGAAAGAATCTTGAATATTTTGTATAAACACTTTTTTCTAAAGCTGATAGATTTTGAAATATTCATTAAATAAGTTTAACTTTTTTTGGCATTTCCCCTTATAGTCCGAGAGCCAGCGCCAAAAGGTGCAAGAATGAAAGCTGAAAATTTAATATAAGCTTGTATTTGTGATGTATATAACTATACTCGAGTCAGCAAGTGAGGTAGCGGGACAATAAGCTACGCCCACGCACCTTTGAATGTGTAAAAAAATAATCGCGATGAAAGAGTTTCATGACAGCTGAAAATCTCTCAATCCATTGTTTATTTGATAAAAAACATGACGGACATGGTCAGATAGCATTATGTTAGGACAACTAGAGTCAGCATGCCTATACAGGGTGGACCATTTAACTTGAAACTCTTGCACTTTTTTGGCGCTGGCTGTCCGACCGTGTATAATACACGGTGTTTCACGAACAAAGTAACAGAGGAGTTTTGGGGTATTTTGAGGTTGATTTAAAAAAAACGCTCGGACAGGTCAATTTTGTATTCAAGGGGGAAACTTTTTGACCCCATCGGTATTTCGCTAGGGTGCACCTCCTGGGTGTCTTTTACCACTCGTTTTTTGATAGAGAAGATAGGTCGAGTGGTACCTGGTTTGAAAGCTTTTTCGATTCTTGTCATAACCGTGTACTTTTTTTGAAAATCGAATGATTAGTTCTCAAGATATTCACTATCAAAGTTGCCATGGGCTTAATAGAAAACAATCTTCTGGCCCTGTTATCAACCCTCAAATCAACACTTTCCTGACTTTCCTCTGGACATTTCAATTTTCTTTTTTTTGTGTGCTTCCGGAAAAAATTGAAATTGACGAGTCCGAAAGGAAAGTGTTGATTTGAGAATAACAGGGCCAGACGATTGTTTCTTATGTAGCCTATGGCAACTTTGACAGTAAATATCTTGTCTAGAACTAATCATTCGATTTTCAAAAAAAGTACACAGTTGTGACGAAAATCAAAATTCCTTTAAAACAAGGTACCACTCGACCCATCTTCTCTATCTAAAAAAGAGGGGTGAAAGTCACCCCACCCAGAGGGTGCAACCTGGCGAAATACCGATGAGGTTAAAAAGTTTCCCCCTTGAATACAAAATTGACGTGACCGAGCGTTTTTTTCAAATCGACCTTGAAATACCGCATAAGGCCTTTGTTTCGATGTTTGTGAAACATCCTGTATCTCGGAAACGAACAAGAGTTTGGCAACCCTGTGTACTTACCTTCGATGGATACTAAAATCTGCCACTTTTATCTAATTTAACCGACTTAGTGCCGGTACTTTTGCTGTCATTTGACAGCCGTTAAAAATAATCAGGGCTTAGAATGTGCTCTAACCACATTATGCTTATAGACCTTGGCCCATTCAAAACTTTGACAACGTATCAAATTCGTTAATCAAGAGCAAAAGTACCGGCCCCTAGTCTCTCTTACTGGTTCGGAGATAGCACTAGTGGTATCACTTAAAACGGACACCCTGTATAGGGAAAATTAAAAAAAAAATATACATAAAAAATGGGCCCCGGGAAAATCCTTGCGGGGGGCCCGGACTTGAAGTTACGCCACTGTTTGACACATCTTTGTACAAGTAATGTAATGGAGCAATATCGTCATTTTGGATGAAATATCCGGAAGGAAATTGGTTCCTGTTCTTAGCTACGGTTGAGAAAATGAATTTCTCATGATATCTATCCTACCACTTCCTTGAATTAACTAATCTTGAAAAGAATAGTCCGTTTACTTATCGAGGCTTTATAGATGTTTTTTTTCAGTACAACTTAGAAGCACTGGACCAAGCCATCGAACAGACTGCGAACAAACTCTAAAACTTGGAGTTTCTAAGGGCGTCAGTATATCGTCCAACGAAATAAAATAGAGGCATCCTGACCTCCGAAGCCCACGGATACTTAGAGATGAACAAGAAGTGACAGCTTTCACTTCTATAATTCCAAGGGCCCCACAGACTGCGTTTTTGTTGGACGGTTCTGTTCGACGAGCAAATCAGGTCGAGCAAAAACGACGCAAAACCGAAGTGTGTGTGCGAAAAATTGTCGTTTTTGCTGGCATACAAAACAGATGCAAATATCTGGCTTCGCCTGATTTTGTCCGTCGGATATGTTCGATATGTCAACAAATCTGAAGTGTGTGGGCCACGCATTTTAAAAACGACGGTTTTATGTGGTGTGTGGTGCGTAGCTATAGAATTTTATGGTTAAAAACTTTTCAACATGACTGATCTTCGCCAAACTGAACCGAGGTCTATGGGCAACTCCGATCCGTCGTTTTTGCTCGACCAGATTTGCTCGTCGAACAAAACCGTCAAACAAAAACGCAGTCTGTGGGGCCTTAACAGCTTCTAATCTCATTGATTCGGAAAATAATGGAAAGCTTTTCAGTTATGTTATCAGGGGAACTGTGGATCCTTACAAACTCTCGAGCAATCTTACTAATAATCAGAAGAAATCAGGAAAAATCATAAGGAAACTCATCTATTTTTTCCCCTAAAACCACGATCTGGTGTATAAAAACTGACCTGTGGTTTACTCCGAGGAGTGAACCTCATCAAGGGATATCTGGTTTACAAATCACGGAGAATCAAGAGGAAATCCAAGGAAATTTAAGGCAATCAAGGAAAATCATAGGAAATCGTGAGGAAATCAAGGGAAACCTCAAGGAACTCCGGGGGAATCTTAAGGAAATCAGTCAATCTCTGGACCTAACGCATGCGCAGTTTTCAAAAAACTTTAAAATTTGAGGTTATGTTAACAGGAGAACTCTTGGGCAATCTTATTGGTAATTAGAAGAAATCTGGGAAAATCATCCATGTTTCCCCCTAAAACCGCTTTTAGGGGCTCCCCGTTTAGGGAATCACTTAACTTGCAAATTACTTTGAGGGTGGTTTAAAAGAGGTTAAAACTGATAAATGGGTTTTATCGAAAAACGGGTTTTTGTGAAAATATGGAAACCACCCTAGACTGGGACACAAATGATACTGGAAGTTATAGACAGTACCAAGATACCTACACCGTTAAGGGGCCCTAAAAAGACTTGCAAATAACTTTGAGGGTAAAACTAATAATTGCGATTTATCGAGAAAAGGGTTTTTGTGAATATATGGACATTTCTACCCTAGTATCGGATACAAATTACAAAGGGTACTGAAAGTGAT